CAGGCCTCCAAATTGAAAGTCAATTGGGGAAAAAGCTGTGTAGCCAGAATCAACATTGAAGGGGGGGACATCCAAGCCATGGAAAATCTGCTAGGTTGTGAAGTGAAAAATTGGCCTCTAGAATACTTAGGTATGCTCTTGGGTGGGAATCTGAAAGCTGAAAGCTTTTGGAAATCGGTGGTAGAGAGGTTCACGAAGAAGTTGGCAATGTGGAAGAGAAATTATATTTCCTTGGGGGGAAGAATCACCTTGATAAAATCAACCCTTGCAAACCTACCCACTTATTTCCTTTCCACCTTTAAGATCCCGGTGAAAATAGCTATGAAATTGGAGATCATGAGGAACTTTTTGTGAGAACCAGGTGATGAAAAGAAAGATCATTTAGTGAAATGGGAGCAAATTTGTTACCCTAAGGATCAGGATGGATTAGGTATAGGGAACCTAATAAAGAGAAACAAGGCCCTTCTAGGGAAATGGCTGTGGAGATTCCCTTGTGAGGAAGAAAGGTTGTGGCGCAGGGTCATTAAAAGCTTACATGGTGAAGAAGATAACGACTGGGATGCAAAATTAGCCCACGATGCAGCTCCATCCTCTCCTTGGAAGGCAATCTTTGAGGTATATCCAACCTTTCTTCAATTTATCAGGTTTGATGTTGGTTGTGGCAACAAAGTTTTATTCTAGGAAGATCTTTGGGTTGGGGATGTACCTCTTATGTTCAACTTCCCAGACCTCTACTCTTTATCAAACTATAAAAACAAACTTGTTGCTAGGTTTGGTGTGCTTTCAGAGTCAGGGATCTCTTGGGATTTTGGCTTTAGAAGAGGGTTGAGGGAAAATGAGTGTGAGTCTCTAGTGCTGTTGATTTCAACACTTGAGAGGGTCAACTTGGACCAACCTATAGCTGATTGTAGAGTTTGGTCCCCAACTTCTGATGGTTTATTTTCCTGTGCATCTTTCTTTGGTTTGCTCACTCATATTGATCCTATGGGGGTGAACTTCCCAGTGAGAGAAATTTGGACTAAACCGATCCCTCCAAAAGTACAAGCTTTTTGTTGGGAAGTGTTCCCAAGAAAGGTAAACACTTGTTGTTGGTTCGGCTGATATGTTGTTATTCTCTTGTCTGGGCTGGGTATTAGAGTCTCTAGTTAATGGGCCTTAGTAACTGGGCCTAATTGTATCTTGT